TTTAATGTGGACCAAGATTTTCTTGGCTTGGTTCATCTCCAAATGTGATGTTCTTCTCCTTTTCTTCTCAGGTCCTTTCACAGATGTCGTCACTGCGAACCTGAAGCTAAAGAATCCATCAGATAAGAAAGTATGTTTTAAAGTGAAGACCACAGCGCCGCGCAGATACTGCGTACGGCCGAACAGTGGCATCATCGACCCCGGGGCCACGCTCTTCATTTCAGGTCAGTCCACCAGAGTTCAGCAATCCAAAATATTTGGCTTGAAATTGTTTTTTTTATGAGGCCAAAATCATTGACCAAAACAATGACGTTTAATTAGCACTTCTCCAATGCCGTGTTAGAACTTGGTTGACAATATCGATCTTTATTTTGATGAACCGAGATCTTTTAAGTCTATGCTTTTGTTACTTTTGAAAGGTAACAAAGTCTCAGCTTTCAAATTCTGTCAATTTTAACGAAGAATTCAAACAGTTAAATGCTGTTTTGTTGCTCTTTAATGTGGCGTGTTAGATGGCTGTAGTGAATCGATCATGTCTTCCTCTTTACTACAAGTTATAGCAGCAAATAAACATGAATGAACATCAGAATGTTTTGAAAGAAACTTACTAAAATCAATCAGTGTTTCATTTGCAGAACTCCGTCAGTAAAACAGCTTATAAACATTGTCACATAATGTTGTCATTTTTTATCTCAGGAAAGACATTCAATGACCATAAACTCAATAGTCAGGAAGAAAAATAACTAACATTATTTAATCTAAGTTTGTTGCTTTAATCTATAGACATTGGTGCTTCTCATAAACTCATGAATACGGCAGTAAATATTGCCTTAAATTTGTGTCTGTTTCTCACACAAAGCCTCATGTGAAGTCTACTTTTATGATGCTTTATTGTTGTTTTTACTGTTATCATAGATAGAATATTCACTATTGTTTCTTGTGCAAAATAATATAGGCTACTGATTAGTTTGATTATGTGCAGATAAGTCGTATTAAACATGTTTATAGAAATGCTTGTATTCTCATGATTAGTTTGATTGTGTTAATACTTGTCTTTATGTCACAGTTATGCTGCAGCCGTTCGATTATGACCCCAATGAGAAAAGTAAACATAAGTTCATGGTACAGACCATCTTCGTCCCTGCAGCCGTTACAGACGCAGAAGCCATGGTAAACCTTGTGAGAGTGTGTGTGTGTGTGTGTGTGTGTGTGTGTGTGTGTGTGTGTGTGTCAGTCAGTCAGTGAGTGTGTGTGCGTGATTGAGTGAGTGTGCGTGTGTTTGAGTGAGTGTGCGTGTGTTTGAGTGAGTGAGTGTGCGTTTGAGTGAGTGAGTGTGTGTGTGTGTTTGAGTGGGTGAGTGTGCATGTGATTGAGTGAGTGTGCGTGTGATTGAGTGTGTGTGTGTGTGTGTGTGTGTTTGAGTGGGTGAGTAAGTGTGTGTGGCGCTGCTGTTCAGTGCTGCAATTGCGTGTTCACACCAGCAGATGGCAGAAAATAGCCTGTTTAGCGCTACTGTTTTAAACCTTTAAGGCCTGACATATGAAATAATAGTCCGAATTTTTTATTTTTATTTTTTAAACTGAACTGTTTAATGAACCTTCAGACAAATATATAAAATATAGAAATTTTACATATGTGTTTTGTATCATATTTGGTTTTTATGGCTCATAGAGAGAGAATATGAAGCTTAATTTTATTCAGAGACTCAAACGGAGCAAAAATATGAATTTGGTGCAGATGCTGATATTTCTATGATGAGATGCTTGTGATGTAAATCAATGAGATCTTTATAACAGTATAGAGCAGATACTGACATAAAATGATCTAAATATCAGCGGTCGCTCTATATCTCCAGTAACATGTCTCAGTGAGATGAGAGTGAAATGCTCCAAACATATAATGCAGTGATTGAGAGCTGAAGAAATAAAGGCTCCTCAGAAGATGTGAGATGTTCTGGAGGCTTGTGAAGATCATTCCTCCGCTGAGGAACAGTGAAAGTAAAGCTTCTGGAAACAAACGCTCCTCAAAAGATCCTGAGGATCAGATTTGAGACTCTAAAACATGATTGATGGAGAATCAAGTAAAGCTGAGCTGCTTCAGTGCAGTAAGTGTTCATCTGGAGATATTACTGACGTTATTCTGACGCTTACTTGATCAAAATCAGTCAAGATTTGACACGAGAAGCTCCAGCTGAAGCTGGACGCTTGTACAATTACACTAAAAGAGCTTTTACTGGATAAAAACTCCAAACTATCAATCGGACGACAGAAGAGATGCAGGAGATTGAGTGTGAAACAGCAAAGATGGATCATTTAGAGGTCTTGGAAATCCATGTATCATATACGATACAGCGGGCTTTATAGGGTTAATGCTTGAATTCCAGTGTAAAGTGTATGTGTGTGTGTCTGTGTGTGTGTGTGTGTAAGGGCAGCTGGTAGTGATTGTGGCTGATGAATTGCCGATTTTTCATGAGTTTCAGTGGAAAGACGTGAAACCCGATGAGCTCATGGATTCCAAACTCAGATGCGTCTTTGAGCTGCCGTCTGAAAACGATAAAGTGGTGAGTACAGAGAGATGAATAGGAGGAAAGGCGTTCACTCCACCCTGTTATACGCTGCTGTAAATTGAATTATAATTCTGTTTTAACAGCAGAACGTGCTTTGCTCTTATGGTAAGGTGCTGTAAGTGATTGTTTTTGACGGCTATCAGTGAAACAGGTGTGAGAGCCAGCCAATCACAAACACTCACTGCCTGTCAATCACTTTATCTCATTCTGATTGGCTGTTGTGTTTGGAGGGCGGGGTTTTAGAGAGTTTGACTCAGTCTGGCAAAACATCTGAAACCACTTACAGCACCCTTTTTATTCCAGCTGTTTAGAGTTTGAAGTTAAGTTTTGAAGCTTAAGCAGTTTTGTTTTCAGTAATAATGTCGTTGTTCCTCCTTTAACTAGCTTGTATGTAGATGCTTTTCACCAGCACTGATGCACACAAGGGCTGCACGATTAATGCAAATAAAACCAAAATCACGATGTGGCTTTGAGCGTGCATTTGAAAATGCAACATGCACCATTTTCCAACAACAGAGAAGCTTTAAGGTCTTCTTGTGGTTTTCTGCCAAAGTAAAAGCTGGATGGTCTAAACATTTATAAATGAGGAAATTAAGCCATAAATATAAATAAATAATTACATAATTAATATTTAAAAATATATATATATATTAATATTTTCCTTAAAGACTAGTGTTGTTTTATTTTACAGTGAAATTATATTATTTATTTTTTCTAAGTAGTATTTTGTAATAATGATAATAATAGTAACAACAACAACAATAATAAAAATAAAAATAATAATTATTATTATTAGCTTATAGTTATATTGATATGTAAACACAAAATATTTGGCCAAATTATGAAGCTGTACAAACAAGCAGTGTTATTTAGTATCATTAACATACTATAATAGATGTATCTATGTATGTATATATCTACAGGTGCATCTCAAAAATTAGAATATGTTTTTTTTTTGTAACTTTAAACTTTCAAATATTCTAGATCCATTGCATGTAAAGTAAAACATTTAAAAAGTTTTTTGTTTTAGTTTTGATAAGTCCAATCCACACAGACAGACACAGACACTCACACACAGACACTCACACACAGACACTCACACACAGACACAGACACTCACAGACACAGACACTCACAGACACAGACACTCACAGACACACTCACAGACACACTCACAGACACACTCACAGACACACTCACAGACACACTCACAGACACAGACACACACACAGACACACACACACAGACACACAACACACAGAGACAGCCACTCACACACACAGAGACAGACACTCTCACACACCCAGACACACACACACAGCCACAGACACCCACACACAGACACTCACACACAGACACTCACAACACACAGACACGCACAACACACAGACACGCACAACACACAGACACGCACAATACACAATACACATCACATCACAGACACAACACACAGACACTCATCACACACATCACACAACACACACATCTCACACACACACACACACATACACACGCACAACACACATCACACCACACACACCCACACACACAACACACACACTCTCACACACGCGTGCGCACGCACACACAACACTCACACGCACACACAACACTCACACACACACACACACACACACACACACACA